TGGCTCGAATTTCATCTGAGACTGCTTGTCTCCTTGCCCTTCTTCACCCTCCTCCTTCACCACATCCTCTTCCTCTCCCTCCTCCACCACGTCCTCCTTCCCCCCCCTCGGGCCCTTTTATCTATTTATTGAAGGATCTGATTGATGTGTGTTCAATTTTGACTCTTAGTGTTTCCACCTGGGTAATTGTTTGCAAATTGAGCTCAAGCTGTGCTGACTTGAGTGAACAGTATTGAATGCTAGTGCTTTCTAAATGACCACATGGTGTAAGCACTGAGAAATGTAGGGATTTGTGTGTAGAGTTTTGCAGTAACAGTTCACCAAATCTGACTCATGTGTTAAAGCAGGGGAATAGTGTTTATAGTTCAGCAAAATGGGTGTGCTTTTTGAAAAATGGCGTTATGGTTTTGAAATTTTAGTTCAAAAGCATGGTTATAGTGTTTTAGCAATCGAGAAAATCTGTAATTAAAATCATGAAACTTACAATTTAACATCAATATATTAAATTACATTTTTTAGGGCCCTATGAAATACGTTTTATTTTTTTATCACGTTCTGTTTTATTGTTACCAGATTCTGTGTTTAAGCATGTCTAATTATTGGAATGCATAAAAACAACTTAATTTATTAACATTTATTTTTACAATAGCCCTATGAAATGTTTTGGGGTTTATTTTCCAACATTTCAAATTTTCTGGTTATCAAATGAAGACATAAAACAGTAATTTATTTTATCGTTTAATCAAATGAAAACAAACTTTATTTTTGGCAAACAAAGGGGGTTTACTATTAAAATTAAAACATGGGAGAAATATTGTGTGATTATTACTTCAAAAAATAAGTTTTAATAATTTATCATTATTAGTAGTAGTAGTATTACGTACATTCTACTTCACAATAATATATTTCCGACATAATTTATTCCAGTCATAGGGCCTTAGATCGGCATCCTGATGTGCATGTGTCTATAAGCGTGTTGATATTTGCAGGACGGCTCGTGGAGTCTGATGAACATCCTGCAGCATCAGGTGGCAGAGCTGAAGGTGGACGCAGACAGCGGCTCAGTGGAGCCCCCTACTGACGCTGGAGACCGCCGAACCGGCTCGGGTACGGCTACGGTTCACATTATCACCTCGCCCAGTGATGCTGATTGTGATTGGCCACTGCTGTCATTCTGTGGACCAATAGAGCACAACAGCTGGCTCTTGACATAAAGGAACGTTCCCATAATGCTTGAACAATGATAAAAAGGAACGTTCCCATAATGTTTGAACAATGATAAAAAGGAACGTTCCCTTGATGTTTGAACGATGATAAAAAAGAACGTTCCCTTGATGTTTGAACAATGATGAAAAGGAACGGTCCCTTGATTTTTGAACAATGATAAAAAGGAAAGTTCCCATAATGTTTGAACAATGATAAAAAGGAA